GCTAGGTCTGAGTCTGCGTCTGCCTGTCCTCCGTCCGTCGGGGGTGAGTGTGCCCTCGGCACGGACGTCCTTGAGGACAGACAGGAGGAGTTCCACTGCCTTGCTGCTGCTTTGCCCCGTCTCGTGTCCTTGCTAGTTGCCCCTGAGGGAGACCCGGATGCACCAGACATCCCGACCCCACGCTCTTACGCTGAGGCGATCGCGGGTCCCTACTCCTCTCAGTGGCAGACAGCCATGGACGCAGAGATGGCCTCCTGGAAGTCCACAGGCACCTACGTAGACGAGGTTCCCCCTCCTGGGGCGAACATCGTCAGTGGCATGTGGATTTTCAGGGTGAAGCGGCCTCCGGGTTCTCCACCTGTCTTCAAGGCGCGCTACGTGGCTCGAGGCTTCAGTCAGCGAGAGGGAGTAGACTTCTTTCAGACCTTCTCCCCCACCCCGAAGATGACTACTCTTCGGGTGCTGCTGCACATAGCCGCTCACCGCGACTACGAGCTTCACTCTCTTGACTTCAGCACTGCTTTCTTGCAGGGCAGCCTGCACGAGGAGATCTGGCTGCGCCGCCCCCCTGGCTTCACTGGGTCATTTCCTCCTGGCACCCAGTGGAGGCTTCAGCGGCCGGTCTACGGTCTCCGCCAGGCGCCACGTGAGTGGCACGACACACTGAGGACGACACTTGCGGCTCTTGGGTTCGCTCCCTCTACTGCTGACCCGTCGCTGTTTCTACGCACCGACACCTCGCTGCCGCCGTTCTACATCCTCGTGTACGTTGACGACTTGGTCTTTGCCACTGCTGACACCGCGGCACTCGCTCACGTGAAGTCGGAGCTGCAGAGGAGACACACGTGCACAGACCTGGGTGAGCTGACGAGCTATCTTGGCTTGCGGATCACCCGGGACAGAGCACGGCGCACCATCACCCTGACTCAGTCACACATGGTGCAGCAGGTCCTCCAGCGCTTCCGCTTCACGTACTCCTCGCCTCAGTCCACTCCTCTGCCTACCGGTCACTCGCTCTCAGCTCTGCCTTCGGATGAGTCCGTAGAGCCGAGTGGCCCGTATCCAGAGCTTGTGGGCTGCCTCATGTACCTGATGACCTGCACTCGACCTGACCTTGCATACCCTCTTAGCATCCTAGCACGCTATGTCGCTCCTGGCCGTCACCGGAAGGAGCACATGGATGCTGCTAAGAGGGTGTTGCGCTACTTGTGCAGTACGTCGGGCATGGGGCTTGTGCTTGGAGGGCGAGACCGGGTTGTTCTCACAGGGCACTCAGACGCTTCTTGGGCAGACGACCAGGCTACTCAGCGGTCGTCCCAGGGTTACACCTTCAGCCTTGGCTCTGGCTCAGTTTCTTGGCGTTCTACTCGCTCTTCTTCTGTTCTCAGCTCCAGTTGTGAGGCTGAGATCTACGCCACAGCCATGGCTGCTCAGGAGCTACGCTGGCTGACCTACCTGCTGACCGACCTCGGAGAGCAGCCTCGTTCTCCTCCAGTGCTGTACGTCGACAACAAGGCTGCCATTGCCTTGTGTGAGGAGCACAGACTGGAGCACAGAACGAAGCACATCGCTCTGCGGTACTTCCTTGCTCGAGAGCTGCAGCAGCGTGGTCAGCTTTGTCTGCGTTACGTGGCCACGGAGGCCAACACTGCTGATGTGTTCACCAAGGCGCTTCAGCCTTGTGACCATCAGCGCTTTTGCACTCTGCTAGGCCTTGTACCTACTGGGCCTCACTTGCTTACCTCTTGACCTTACTTGTACTGTGATCACTATATATATATGCCTTCTTGCTTACTTTTGCTAGGTTGTGATCACTGTATCTCTTACTTTGTTATAAACCTGCATGTGAACTGGTCTTGTGACCGCTTGCTTGTGCTCGGAATTTGTGTGGAATCCTTGAGATCCACCCTGAGCTTGCTTTGCTTTGCTTTGACTGGTCTTGTGACCCTGTGGTTGTTTCCCACTGCGCCTATGGGGGTGTGTCAAACATTGCATGTTTATATTGTCTAGGCTGTAGTGGGTTACACCTTAGGGGGTACACAAAGTTAGGGTTTCCTACTTGTACCAAACTCTGTTCTAGTTCATTCATTCCTGCTCAGTTATTTCTGACACTCAAGGCTCTTGATCTGGTTGTTCTTGAGGCCAAGAGACCTCTTAAACTGACGAGCCTCGGCAGTGACTTTGGTAAGCTGAGCCTGGATTGTTTCAATCGAAACTTTCTGCTCAGCAACTTGAGCCTCAAGCTCATTGACCCTGCGTTTCTGCTGCAGCAAGGAAGATGCTTGCTCGGCCACCGTGGTTTGAAGTTTTTCAAACTCCTCCGGGAAGTTATCATCAGTGCCGGCATCATCAAGCCCTTCCTGTTCTCCATTCTCCTCCTGGTTTCCCAGTGCTTCTTCCTCTTCAGGAAGGTCCCCTATGCCATCCTCAGCATTAAGGTCAAGGTCTGGAAAGTCTTACCAGTTCATCAACTGAGGCCATAGGGACATCCTCCTTTGATGCTTCCTCATGAGGAGTAGCCATGGAGGAGTTGTTAAGCTGCAGCTCAAGGAGAGTGTTTCTTCTTTGTTAAGAAAGTATGATCTTAATAAGAGTCCTCTATCACTTAAGTGATAGGCAAGATATTTTGAAATTTTCAGAAATCTTTTAATAGATCAATATTCTCACAAAGAGAGAATTACAGAATAAGTGTTGTTGAATAAGTCTTCTATTCCAAGAAGGAAATAGAGAGGGTTCCCCAAATTGCTCAAAGAGCAAATTTAGAGGAATCTTTTAACAAATCTCTTAGATCTGTAACACTCTGCTATTATAAAATAGCAATGAATCTTCCACCAAGGAGGTGGGCAGAGAAATAAATTCTCTTAAAGCTCAGAGAGCTTTTAAATCGTGGAGATCCTTGAAGAAGATTTCTTGATCTTGGGAGTTTCTCAACTCTTCTTAAAGAAAGAGCTTGAGACTATGCTAGATCTAAGATCTAGAAACTCCTAAAAAAAAAAATCTAGTTAGCCACACAGGGCCAAGGATAACCAAAGCTCTGAATACCAAATGTAACACGGGCTTATATGAAGACGCCCTTAAAATCACAATAAGGACCCGGGCTTATAAATGAATGCCCACAAAAGGGTCAATAGTAGGCTTATAAAACGCCAAGAACACACACACAGTGTAAAGACTAGTCCTAATAGTAGCCTCAAGTTTTGGAAGCTTGGTAGGTGAAGCCTTGGAAGTCAACCTTCTCGAATGAATTGATGAAATAACTTTGAGAGAGTTGTGTAGGAAGGCTTGTGAGAGAGAGCCCAAAAGGACTTAGAGAAACAATCCCATTTCCAATTGTTTAGTTGGAGTGGGAGGTTGAGAAAAATGGCCTTGCCTAGCTCAGACCCCCTCAATACACCCCTTGGGGAACTATCCCAACCATGGTTTCCATGGTGGGATGGCTCCTAGGCTTGGAGCCTATGTGGCAATTGTGTTGGGTTGGAAAACCCAACTTAGAACCATTCAATGGTTGTGTTTAGGATAGAGTAGATTGTAACAATTGTTTGGCAGTTTCTGATTGGTTGGAATTCCAACCTTTGTGATTTCACTTTGATGGGTTGGAGTTTCCCAATCCTCTTGGTTGAGGTTTGGAAAATCAAACCAACCCTTCCATCCCAACCAAAGCCAACCTTCTTCTCCAAGTCCCTCTTTGTCGAGATTACTCTCGACATTTGCCTAGAGGGAAGTTAGTTAGTTAGCTTAGTTAGGGCAATGCGTTACATATAGATATATAAATAGATCACAGTACAAGCAGTGTCTACAACAAGTGAGGAAAAGTGGGCACAAGCCCTAGCAAAGTGCAGAAACGCTGATGATCACCAGACTGAAGCGCCTTGGTGAATATATCAGCAGTGTTGGCCTGAGTGGCCACGTAACGCAGACGAAGCTGACCACGCTGCTGCAACTCTCGAGCCAGAAAGTAACGTAGAGCGATGTGCTTCGTTCTGTGCTCCAGTATGTGCTCCTCACACAAGGCAATGGCAGCCTTGTTGTCGACGTACAGCACTGGAGGAGAACGAGGCCGCTCTCCCAGGTCGGTCAGCAGGTAGGTGAGCCAGCGTAACTCCTGTGCAGCCATGGCTGTGGCGTAGATCTCAGCCTCACAACTGGAGCTGAGAACTGAAGACGAACGTGTAGAACGCCACGAAACTGAGCCAGAGCCGAGGCTGAAGGTGTAACCCTGTGACGACCGCTGAGTAGCCTGGTCGTCAACCCAAGAAGCGTCTGAGTGCCCAGTGAGAACAACTGGGCTCCCTCCTCCAAGCACGAGCCCCATGCCCGATGTATTGCACAAGTAGCGCAATACCCTCTTAGCAGCATCCCAGTGCACCTTTCGGTGCCTGCCAGGAGCCACGTAGCGGGCCAGAAGGCCAAGAGGGTACGCAAGGTCAGGACGAGTGCAAGTCATCAGGTACATGAGGCAGCCAACTACCTCTGGGTAAGGACCACTCGATGGACTCATCCGAAGGCAGAGCTGAGAGCGAGTGATCTGTAGCCAGAGGAGTGGCCTGTGCTGAGGACCAGGTGAAGCCGAAGCGCTGAAGGACCTGCTGCACCATGTGTGACTGAGTCAGTGTGATGGTGCGCCGTGCTCTGTCCCGGGTGATCTGCAAGCCAAGGTAGCTGCGCAGCTCACCCAGGTATGTGCACGTGTGTCTCTTCTGCAGCTCCAACTTCACGTGGGCGAGAGCCTCAGTGTCAGCAGTGGCAAAGACCAAGTCGTCGACGTACACGAAGATGTAGAACGGCGGCAGCGAAGTGTCGGTGCGCAGAAACAGCGACGGGTCAGCAGTAGAAGGCGCGAACCCAAGTGCCGCAAGAGTAGTCCTCAGTGTGTCGTGCCACTCACATGGCGCCTGGCGGAGACCGTAGACCGGCCGCCGGAGGCTCCACTGGGTACCAGGAGGAAACGACCTAGTGAAGCCAGGAGGGCGGCGCAGCCAGATCTCCTCGTGCAAATGGCCCTACAAGAAAGCTGTGCTGAAGTCAAGAGAGTGAAGCTCGTAGTCACGCTGAGCAGCTACGTGCAGTAGCACCCGAAGAGTGGTCATCTTCGGGGTGGGGGAGAAGGTCTGAAAGAAGTCTACTCCCTCTCGCTGACTGAAGCCTCGTGCAACGTAACGAGCCTTGAAGACAGGCGGAGAACCCGGCGGCCGCTTCACCCTGAAAATCCACATGCCACTGACGATGTTCGGCCCAGGAGGGGGAACCTCGTCGACGTAAGTGCCAGTGGACTTCCAGGATGCCATCTCTGCATCCATGGCTGTCTGCCATTGAGAGGAGTAGGGACCCGCGATCGCCTCAGCGTAAGAGCGCGGGGTAGGGATGTCTGGAGCATCCGGGTCTCCCTCAGGGGCAAGCAGCATGGACACGAGGCGCAGCGGCTGCAAGACACTCAAGGTCCTCCTGTCTGTCCTCAAGGACGTCCGTGCCTAGAGCACACTCACCCCAGACGGACGGAGGACAGACAGACTCAGACTCAGCAACAAGACTCGCGGCGTAGTCTAGACGACAGCGAGCAGCAAAGTCAACAAGCTCAGCAACTAGGGCAGACGCAGCAGCAGTCTCAAAGGAAGGGTCAGTGACAACAGTGGCCAGGAGACGCGTGACAGTAGGACTGGCAGCACGAAGAGAGTCAGACTCTGGGTCAGCAAGAACAGGAAGAGAGGACGCAGGAGGAGACCGTAGAGGGACACACTATGGAGCAGTGGAAGGACGCAGAGTCATATAGTGTGTGCCAGGGACAGGTGGAGGACGCTCACGCGGAACACGGCGACCAGTGCGAGCAGCACGAACAGGTGACACTGGACGAGACACAGGCGACGCAGGACGAGAATCAGGCTCACGACGCTCTGTAAGACCGCCTGTCGGACCAGTGTAGGGAGAGGGACCAGGAAGTGGCGAGGCAGGTGGTAGCTGCGACTGCGACTGGACAGGCGGAGGACAAGCTAAGGAGGGAGGAGGACTAGGAGGAGGCGACTGACCAAGAACCTGCTGAAGGAGCGGAACGAAGTACGGCCGCGGCCGTGAAGTGCCCCCAGAAGCAGCAGAGACAGCACCAGAACCTCCTGTTGAACCAGCACCAGCAGCACCTCCAGCAGCTCCAGAGCCTCCAGCAGCACCAGCAGCACCTCCAGCAGCTCCAGAGCCTCTAGTAGCACCAGCAGCACCTCCAGCAGCTCCAGGACCTCCAGCAGCACCAGCAGCACCTCCAGCAGCTCCAGGACCTCCAGCAGCACCACCAGCACCTCCAGCACCAGCAGCACCTCCAGCAGCACCAGCACCAGCAGCACCTCCAGCAGCTCCAGAGCCTCCTGCAGCACCAGCAGCACCTCCAGCAGCTCCAGGACCTCCAGCAGCACCAGCAGCACCTCCAGCAGCTCCAGCACCTCCAGCAGCACCAGCACCAGCAGCACCTCCAGCAGCTCCAGGACCTCCAGTAGCAGCAGGGCCTCCAGCTGGCGGTACCTCAACACCAGGAGCTCCACTCCGGAGGCTGCAGCGCCGAGCGTACCACTCACGTAGCCGCTGAGGGGAGGGAGGCTCCGGCTGCAACACTGCACCCGCAGGGCCACCAGCCCCAACTCCAGCGGAGCCCCCAGCTCCAGTAGCCCCACGACGGAGGCTGTAATGCTGGGAGTACCACTCACGCAGCTGCTGTGAAGAGGGAGCGCCAACAGGTGCAGGACGGCCAGTCTCAGAACCCCCATCCTCAGCTCCGCGAGGCTCAGCACCCCCAGACGCAGCACCTCCAGGCTCAGCACCCCCAGTCTCCGCACCCCCAGGCTCAGCACCCCCAGTCTCCGCACCCCCAGGCTCAGCACCCCCAGTCTCAGTACCCCCAGACCCAGCACCACCAGGCTCAGCACGCTCAGCACCTCGCGCAGGACCAGAGTCAACAGCTACCTCGACAGGCTCGACCGGGTCTACCTGGGAAACACCTGAGGGAGCAGCACCCTGGGGAGGGAGGGGGTCTACCGACGGGACACCTGGGGTGAGGAAGAGCGGCGGGGGGGGAAGAGGGGCAGTGCGATAGGGGAAGAGACGGTAAAAGGGTACCGACTCGTCAAAGGTGACGTCCTGAGAGGCAAAGACACGGCGCGAGGTGGGGTGGTAAAACTGCCAGCCAGGCGCGTCAGGGACAAAGCCAAGGAAGACACAGGGAACGGCACGGGAGGAGAGCTTGTCCGCGGACGTATCGCGGACAAAGGCTCGACATCCCCAGACTCGGAACACCGACGCATCGCCAACCTCCCCCGTCCACCGCAGGGTAGGCGAGGTCTCCGGAACAGAGACACGGGGCCAAAGGTTGAGCTGATGCGCGGCGTACTGCACTGCAAACGGCCACAGGAAATGGGGAGCAGCCGCATGGATCATGGAGGTACGAGCGACCTCCATGACGAGACCAATGCGGCGCTCAGCAACCCCATTCTGCTGCGGAGAGGCCGGGAGAGTGAACGTCTGGCGGATGCCGTGCTCCGCACAGTAGGCTGCCAAGAGGTCAGAGGAAAACTCGCCACCTCGGTCAGAGTGCAGACGTAGGTGCGGAAAGTCCGACTGGAACCGGTCGCGGAGCTGGAGACGAGCAGCGCGGATCCAGGGGATCAAGACATCAGGGACCTCACCCTTGGTACGCAAGGGGAAGACCGTGGTGTAGCGCGTGTAGTCGTCGACGACCAGCAGAAAGTACCGCTCGTGGCCCTGTCCCCGGACGCGGGCGGGGCCCCACACGTCCAGGTGGAGAGTCTGCAGGGGAGCCTCTGTGGGAGGGAACGAGGAAGAGTGAGGAGCAGCGCGCTGCCGCCCCTCGACACAGGGAAGACAGGGAGGAGCAGGCGAGGGTGGTAGGGGAGGGAGAACCCTGGGAAGACCAGAGACAAGGTACCTGGAGTGCATGCCGCGAAGGCGCTGCACTGAGGGTGACCAAGGCGGTGGTGCCAGAGGAGAGTCTGGTGCGACAGGGAGCGACACGAGCAGGGGGCCGACAGCTGACCTGACGTAGACGCAGACGCAGCTACCTGAGGGGACTCAGTGGTCAGTGTGTACAAGTCCGACCCCGGCTGCCGAGTGAAGGTAGCCAGGTGACGACCCGTCTGGGCACACGTGCAGTGCGTCACACGCTCGTAGGCAGGGGTGAACTGGTGAACACCCCCGTCCTGGAGCGCGGAATTCGCCACCAAGTTCGTAGAGAACGAGGGGAGGTAGAGGCCCGACAGTGTGCCAGACGGGACAGCAGGACAAGGGAGGGCAGTGGTGGAGGTCGCAAGGACCGGACCCCCGGAGGGGTCAGCCAGGGAGACAGCAACCGGTCTAGGAAGCTGCTCGAGGGCAGTGCGGTCGCGAAAGAAACAGCGGGAAGCACCTGAGTCCAGTGTGAAGGTGTGCAGTGCCGTAGTAGACGTAGTACCTGAAAGCGCAGACTCACAAGCACCTGAAGCAGCAGACTCACGAGCGCCTAGAGCAGCAGCCTCACCAGCACCTGGAGCAGCAGACTGGATACCGGGGTCAGGCGGCCCACACAGGTGACAGGCTCCCTCGGCACTAGTAGACAATGCATACATTGCAGTGAGAATAGCATCATAGTCAAGAGCAAGGATATCTACCCTCTGCCTAAGCAGCTCCACCCAGTCGGGGAGCTCAGCGTCGTCGCCAAACTCTGTACGCCAAGCGTCGCTCAGACGGGCGAAGCAGTGAGACTCTGTGTGACCAGGCGTCCCGCAAGGCTGACCAGTCCGGACACCCGTGCGAATAACGTACAGGCAGCGAGCAGTACGGAGCGACCCTCTACTCTGAGCGTACCACTCACGAAGCTGCTGGGGCGAACGAGTCTCGCTCAGACGACGCTGCTGCGGCACCGAGCCACTACAAGAAACTCCCGGACTACGCACTCCAGGACGACTCCCACTACTGCCACCCCGACAGCCCCAACTGGCGTACCACTCACGAAGCTGCTGGGGCGTGAGGGACACACGCGGACGGCCCTGGAGCTGCATCTGGCCACGCCAGGAGCAGCAATAGAAGCAATAGCAGCAGGACGGGTAGGGACGTGCTCACCAGTGGTGGGAAGGGCAGGCGCACGACGGAGGCGACTGCGGGACCGCTACAGCGGCAGGGCGGGGCTAGGGGCGGCTGCTGCAGTGGCGGCTGCTCCAGGGGCGGCTGTTCCAGGGGCCAGGGGCGGCTGCTGCAGTGGCGGCTGCTCCAGGGGCCAGGGGCGGCTGCTGCAGTGGCAGCTGCTCCAGGGGCGAGGGGAAGCTGCTGCAGTGGCGGCTGCTCCAGGGGCCAGGGGCGGCGGCTGCAGTGACGGCTGCTCCAGGGACCAGGCGCAGGGTAGAGGCGACGTGGCGGGTAGGGCGGGCGCGGGGTACTGCAGGGCGACGCGGCGGGCAGGGGCGACGTCGCGCGGATCCCGCAGGGGCGTCGCGACGAGGGGGGGCGACGCCCGGGTCCCGCTGGGGCGGCACGACGCGCAGGAGCCGCGCCTCGCGGGTCCCGCAGGGGCGTCGCGAAGAGGCAAAGGGCGACGCGCGGGGCCCGCAAGGGCGTCGCGAAGAGGCAGGGGGCGACGTGCGGGGCCCGCAAGGGCGTCGCGAAGAGGTAGGGGCGACGCGCGGGTCCCGGCGGGCTGTAGCCGCTGGAGTGCAGCAGCCGTGGCGCGCGGGGTACAGCCTGCGCGCGAGCGTCGGCTTAAGGGCGGCGGCGGCCTACGGGCGACGTACGGGCGCCCCACGGGCTGCGTAAGGGCGGCCTACGGGCAGCGTACGGGCGGCAAGCAGCCTACGGTGGCGGCCTACGTGCAGGCAGGTCGCGGGCGGCTCGAGGGGCCGCGAGATGCCAGTACGAACTGCGTGGGCGGCTAGCGGGCTGCGCGCAGGCGTCGATCAGGCGGCGCGCTGGTGGCTAGCGGGCCACGCGCGCACGAGCAGAGGACGGCGCACGGGCAGAACGAAGGGCGGGGCGCGCGAGGGCGCACGAGCAGAAAGAAGGCGCACAAGGGCGCACGAGCAAAGTAGGGCGCACGAGGGCGCACGTAAGGTAGGGCGCACGAGGGCGCTTCTAGCGGAATGGTGGGCCCGTAGTAGTAAGCGGTCCTAGGTGGCTAACCTAGGCTCGTGATACCATGTCAGAATCAACAAGAGTGATTGAACTAGGAAAGAGTTGGGTACAAGTAGGAAACCCTAAACTTACTGTACCCCATAGTAACTACCCCACTACAGCCTAAACAAACTGTAGCAGATATAACATTTGACACCATTCCCTTCGGTCATTACAATTGTACACGCCCTTACACGCACCTGATTGGGTTTGATGATTCGCTCATATTCGGCTAGGTGTGTATCCACATTCGCATAGCACGTGGAGTGGGTGTGGTCAGTTGCAAAACTGCCACGCTGGATCCAAATATCTGCACTTTTGGGGCTCTTGGGGCTACTTCGCTTGGGGGAACTTGCTGTGAACAAGGTTGTCGAAGCAAGGGCATTTGCCCTTAAATGCCCTAAATATTCCGAGCTGCGCTCGGAGCAGCTCGACCGATTCAAGTGTTCATTTTGCATGGCACCCGTGACAGTTAAGGGCCTCGTTTGGGTCTTCCCTTGAATCCAAGTTTTGGTTTTTGTTCCGAAGAACCCTCCCTACCCCTTAATACCTACCCCCCCTTCCTCCGCAACCCCCAGATGTTTTTGCCTGCGCAGAGTCTGCCTACGATGTAGAAGTTGTAGGAGTGTCGATAATATTTATTTTGCCCCTTCGGCTGCTAAGTCATTAGATAGGGCTGAGGACAGTTTCCGAAGAAGCTCGGATTTTAAGTTTCGAATTGTGCCTGCGCCCGTGAAAATCAGGGCCAAAATTCGAGCAGCTCAGAACTCAAAGTGTTGGCTCCAGGGACTTCAATAGGCCTCATGGTTACGCGTGTATGACCAGAAGTTGGAAAATTCGAAGGTTTGGTTACATGGGAGTCTACCTCGCTAAGGGCAGCTCATGTTCCTGTTCGATACCGTAAACGCCCGGATATAAGACAGTGTTGAATAGTAGACAGGGGTTGTCTACTATACGGGTGTCTCTTATAAACAGGCTAGCCTCATTATAAGACACCTATTTGTGTGTACGAGATAAGACATATATGTCTTATAATCGAAACTTCAATATATTATAGCGAAAGTTGAAATAACGCGTACATTTTTACCCTTGCGAAGCGCGAATTTCTCCACGCGCTGAACCAGGACCTACCTAATTTGCCTCTGCAGGTGTTCTCCATGACGTGGCGTCCCGGGCAGTGGTTGCCGAAGTGGCACCCTCGCAACATCCACACTCATTATGAGGAACTCTTTTTCAAGAAGTACGGAAAATATTTCTAAGTAGTTTAAAAAGTTTCCATTTATAAGACTTATAAGACACCCTAAACCATCCCGTTTACAAGATAACTCAAGCATTTTTGCCCGTGTACGAGATAAGACATATATGTCTTATATCCGGGCGATGACGGTAGCAAAAACGCAACCATTCTCCCACCATTGTTGGAATTGGGCTGTCGCACAAATAGGGACAAATTGCAAGGGAAACAAGCGCCGACAATGTAATTATTGGTGCCGGGTCCTTGCCAGCAACGAAAATGGCGGGAAAAAAATGTAATACATGAACTTCAACGGTCGATTGAAGTGGAACGAGTTTCCCAGTCTACGTCCGGAAAATGTGCCGCAACCAAAAAAATAAGTTGAAATTTTTAACGTGTGGTTTATTTTGGTGACAACTCAGGTGATGTGTGTGGAAAGGTGTTGGCATGCCAGCAACACTGCTTTTTACCCTTCCATTGGGCACCAAAATAGTTCTTCTAGACTGCATAAAAACCCAATAAAGTGGCTTAGTTGAAAAGTAGGAGTCGCAACCATTCCGACACCGTGTGATGTTTTGCCCCATAAAGTTTGTAATATTTACGTCTGCAGTTCCTATTAGGGCGCGCCGTGGAGTCAGGAACCCTGGTTGAACTTCCTGCCTCGTTTTCCCGCGTGGGCGGGAAATTCATCTCATCGCAGGAGGGTCGTTCGCGTGGGCGGGAAACTCGTCTCATCGGAGGGGGTCGTTCGCGCTGGCAGGAATTCAAACTCATTGCATGGGGGTCGCAAGAGTTGCAAGTCGTTTCCCGCCTAATCCCCCCCACCATTGTCAAAATTTCTACCACTAGTTCACCCTACTATCGAACAGGGCCCATATCTGTTCAATTAGGAAAATTGACACATATTTTTATATCTGTCACACTTCAGACGCGAGAAAATAAGGGCATGTTATAAAGACGTGGTTAAGATGGGGGAGATTCGAGGCAATTGCGTCAATCAGAATTATTTTACAATTTCCTGGAAGCCCCAGGGGGTTTTTTAGGCGATCGAGGGCAACCTTTCGATTGCGATCTATTGCCTCAATCTGACGCAATCAATCGCGATCGATTTCTATTGATTGTGATTGGTTGATTGCGTTGGATCGGGCTTTCTAGAGACAACGCATATAATAATTAGATTTACTAAAGATCCTTACTCTACACTGATACACTGTACACAATCGTGGCAGCTTGGGCGAGCGACATAATATAAGTTGGTGTAAAAAATCATCTTTTTTATATGTACCATAATACCCCGAACATAAGACCCCCCCCCCCCCCCCCCAAATTGTAGACCCCCGGGTCTATAATACGGAGGGGGGTACGCTAAATAGGCCGTTTGTAGTCATACCCCCCTAGTGTCAAACTTATACACTATAGTCTGTGTAGGCTGTAGTGGGGTAGCTCATATGGGGTACAACATTCTAGGGTTTGGTACTTGTACTCCTCATGCTGCTCAATGCATTCATTCTCGTTCCAATTGTCACATGGTATAGAGCAGGTTCCCTCGTGGGAACTGTTCCTAGGGCCCACCGTAAGATTTTTTTTTTCCTGCCCGGAGCGCGCTCCGCCCCTGCCCGAGTCGCGCTCCCCTCCCCTCGCTTCCCTTAGCGGCCCCGTCGCGCCGCGCTTCCGGCCCCGGCGCCGCCTCTGCTGGCCCCGGCGCCCCCCTGTCGCGACCCCGCGGCCCCACCCTCGCGTCGCCCTGCGCGGCGTCGTTACAGCCGCCCGCGACCCCGACGCCGCCCGTCGCGACCCCGTCGCCCTTCGCGCCGCCCGCGACCTCGTCGCCGCGGCCGCCTGCGACCCTACCGCTGCAGCCGCCCGCGACCCTGTCGCCGCAGCCGCCCGCGACCCTGCCGTCGCCGCCGCCCGCGACCCTGCTGTCGCAGCCGCCCGCGACCCTATCGTCGCCGCCGCCCGCGACCCTGCAGTCGCAGCCGCCTGCGACCTCGTCGCCGCGGCCGCCTGCCTTCCCGTCGCCGCAGCCGCGCGTGACTCCTGTGGTCGCAGCCGCCCGCGACCCCCCGTCGCCCCACCCGTGCGACCCCACCGCCGCCCTTTGCGGCCCCTTCGCCATCCCTTCGCGGCCCCGCCGAGCAGCCGCGCCGCCGAGACGCCGCCGCCGCCGAGCCGCCGAGCCGCCGAGCCGTCGAGCCGCCGAGCCGCCGAGCCGTCGTTGCCGCCGAGTTGCCGAGCCGTCGAGCCGCCACTGCCGCCGTGCTGCCGAGCCGCCGAGACGCCGGTGCCGACGAGCTGCCGAGCCGCTGAGCCGCCGAGCCGCCGTTCCTGCCGTCCCGGCCCTGTTCCTGCCGACGCGCCTCGGTCCTTCTCGCCTGCCCGGTAAGAGCAGCGCCTCCACCACTGCTCTGCCCTAGCCTGCTGCTCTCACTGCTAGTCTACTGCTGTCATGGCTTCCCCCAGTGTCCTCACTTTTGACGCTGAGGGTCGGGCCATTGACTTTGACGTCTGGGTAGATGACCTGCAGCTTTTCCTACTGAGCGACAGAGCAGACGGCCTCTCCCTTTTTGACCTCACCTCTGGTGCCTCTCCTGCCCCTGCTGCTGATGCTGACCCCACTGTTCGCTCCCAGTGGGCCACACGCGATGCTGCTGCCCGCCTTGCTGTGCGCCGCCACTTGCCGACCTCTGAGCGTGCGCACTTTAGCCAGTACAAGAGTGCTAAGACCTTGTACGACGCTGTAGTTGCGCGCTACTCTTCCCCTGCCACTGCTGCGCTTAGCCGCCTTATCCTACCGTACCTCTTCCCTGACCTCGCCGCTTTTCCCACTATTGCTGACCTCATTACGCACCTTCGCACTAGTGACACTCGCTACCGCGCTGCGCTTCCTGCTGAGTTCTGCGCCAAGAACCCCCCCCCCATGTACATCACCCTCTACTACATAGTCACCCGGCTCCCTGACACCCTTCGCCCGGTTAGGGACCACTTCCTCTCTGTTTGCCCCACCACCCTCACCGTTGACCTCCTCGAGGAGCGCCTGCTCGCGGCAGAGAAGAGCATAGTCGCAGTAGGTGCCTCTCGTGGTGACCCTCGTACCCCTGTCTTTGAGGGGTGCTCCCCCTCTCCCCTCTTGCCCTCTAATGCCTCTGCTGCTGCGGCCGACCTCGTTGGTCTTGAGTCGGTCGCTGCGGCGTCTGCCCCTAGCGGGAGACGCCGCCCTGGCAAGGGCAAGGGGGGCAAGGGTGCTGGAGGGGCTGGAGGGGGCGGTGGAGGCGGAGGTGGAGGTGGTGGAGGGGGTGGGGGTGGCGGTGGGGGTGGTGGCGGGGGTGGGGGCGTCGGTGGCGGGACTGGAGGTGGAGGTGGAGGCGGCGGTGGCGGTGGGAGCGGAGGTGGCGGAGGTGGCGGTAGTGGAGGAGGTAGCGGCGGAGGCGGCGGAGCTGGTCGGGGTGGCGCTGCGCAGAGGGGTGGCTCCGGTGGTGGTGCGCGCCAGCAGCAGCAGCAGCAGCGTACCCGTGAGACCCCTTCCCCCCAGCAGCTTCGTGAGTGGTACGCTGCTCGTCAGCGGGGCGGGGGTGCTGGCCCCTGCACCTACGTTCTCCGTACCGGCGACCGGGCGGGTGAGCAGTGTGGAGGCCCGCACCCCACCCAGCGCTGCTTCGGTCGTCTGACAGACGCGTGGCGCCACCAGTTCCCCGACGCTACGGAGATCCCTCGCTGGGGCGAGCTGTCTAGGGCGGGTGTTGCAATCTATGATCTTGACTTTGATGCTATTCTTGCTGCCATGTATGCTGTGACTATTAGTGATGAGGGTGACTGTTACCGGTGTTTCCCGCCTGACCCAGGCATAGAGGCTGCTGCGCTAGGTACTTGTGAGGCTGCTGCTCTAGGTGCCAGTGCGTCTGCTGCCCCAGGTGCCGGTGAGTTTGCGCTCTCAGGTGCTGCGTCGCCCCCGGACACCCACACCTTCACCCTTGACTCGGGTGCTTCCCGCTCCTTCTTTCGAGACTGCACCACTCTCACACCGCTCAGTCGGCCTGTTGCGGTCTCCCTAGCGGACCCCTCTGGGGGTCCTGTCCTTGCTCACTACTCCACTGTCCTACCGTGTCCAGCGGTCCCGTCTGGCTCCCTGTCGGGTCTCTACGTCCCCTCGTTCTCTACGAACTTGGTGGCGGGTGCTGACCTCCAGGATGCAGGAGTTGACCAGTTCACCCCTGCGCGTCAGCGGGTGACCCACTGCACTTGTGCGGACACGGGCCGCCACTTGGCCACGTTTGCTCGTCGGCCAGGGTCGAGCCTGTACACACTGACTACTGAGTCTTCCCCAGTCACTGAGTCTGCTCAGGTAGCCGCGTCGGGTCAGGTGTTTGCTGCGGCGTCCAGGTCTGGTCCTGAGTCTGCCCCCTGCTCGTGTCGTCTCCTGTCTCACCGGACTCTCCTCTGGCACCACCGTCTTGGTCACCCCTCCCTGCCTCGCCTTCGAGGCATGGCTTCCCGTCTTCTTGTTTCTGGTCTCCCCCGGTCCCTCCCTCCCCTTCCTCCGGGGCCTGCCCCCACCTGCGTTCCCTGCGTCGAGGGGCGGCAGCGCGCTGCTCCTCACTCCTCCGAGTTTCCTCCGACAGAGGCTCCGCTGCAGACGCTTCACATGGACGTGTGGGGCCCAGCCCGCGTCCGTGGGCAGGGTCAGGAGCGCTACTTCCTGCTGGTGGTTGACGACTACTCGCGTTACACCGCAGTCTTCCCCTTGCGCAGCAAGGGTGACGTCACTGAGGTGTTGATCGCCTGGATCCGCGCGGCTCGTCTCCAGCTCCAGGAGAGTTTCGGCTCCGACTTTCCTGTTCGGCGTCTGCACTCCGACCGAGGCGGAGAGTTCTCCTCTGACCTTCTGCAGACCTTCTGTCGCACACGAGGCATCCGCCAGACCTTCACGCTTCCGGACTCTCCGCAGCAGAATGGGATTGCTGAGCGCCGCATCGGCATGGTCATGGACGTCGCTCGTACGTCCATGATCCATGCGGCTGCTCCCCATTTTCTGTGGCCGTTTGCGGTTCGGTACGCGGCGCATCAGCTCAACCTTCACCCCCGGGTCTCCATGCCGGAGACCTCCCCTGCTTTGCTGTGGACGGGGAAGGTTGGTGATGCGTCGCGTTTTCGGGTCTGGGGATCTAGGGCGTTTGTCCGCGACTTGTCTGCGGACAAGCTGTCCTCTCGTGCTGTTCCCTGCGTCTTCCTTGGCTTTCCCCCTGACGCGCCAGGCTGGCAGTTCTACCACCCCACCTCGCGCCGTGTCTTCGCGTCCCAGGACGTCACCTTTGACGAGTCGGTTCCCTACTACCGTCTCTTCCCCTACCGCACTGCGTCCCTCCCTCCCCCGCCGCTCTTCCTTACACCAGGTCCCCCTCCGCTAGACCCCCTTCCCCCTCAGGGTCCTGCTCCCTCAGGTGTGTCCCAGGTAGATGCAGTTGAGCCAGTCGAGGTAGCTGTTGACTCTGGTACTGCTGGTGGTGCTGAGCCTGGGGGTGCTGGGTCTGGGGGTGCTGCGACTGGGGGTGCTGGGTCTGGGGGTGCTGCGACTGGGGGTGCTGAGCCTGGGGGTGCTGAGCCTGGGGGTGCTGAGCCTGGGGGTGCTGCGCCTGGGGGTGCTGCGCCTGGGGGTGCTGCGCCTGGGGGTGCTGCGCCTGGGGGTGCTGCGCCTGGGGGTGCTGAGCCTGGGGGTGCTGAGTCTCGGAGTGCGGAGCCTGAGAGTGCTGGACCTGCTCGTGTGGCGTCTGGTGGTGCTGAGCCTGGCGGTTCCTCCGGTGCTTCGTCCCGGCGGGAGCTGCTCTCTCCACAGGAGCTGCGTGAGTGGTTCGCCCGGCGCTGGCGACGTGCTGCTGGAGCTGGTGGTGCTGCAGGAGCTGGGGGCTCTACTGCTGCTGAGGGTGCTGGTGCAGAGGGTCCCAGAGGTGCTCGTACCGAGTGTACTGGAGCTGCTGACCCTACGAGTGCTCCTCCTGCTGGAGCTGGTGGTGCTGCTGGTGTTGCTGGCGCTGGAGCTGCTGGTGCTGCTGGAGCTGCTGGTGCTGCTGGTGCTGCTGGTGCTGCTGGTGCTGCTGGTGCTACTGGTGCTACTGGCGTTGGTGCTGCTGGAGCTCCTGGAGCTGGAGCTGCTGCGTCTTCGGGTGGTCCGGCTGGAGCTGGAGCTACTGGGGGTGTTGGCGCTGGAGGTGCTGCTGGCGCTGGTGCTGCTGGGGGTGCTGGAGTTGGAGCTGCTGGAGTTGCGGGTCTTCCTGGTGCTGGTGCTCCCGCTGGGGGCGCTGGTGCTGTTCCTGCTAGCCCTGGTGGAGCTGCGCGGCCGCGGCCGTACTTCGTTCCGCTCCTTGAGCAGGTTCTTGGTCTTCCGTCCTCTCTTGGTCCTGCTCCTGCCTTAGAGTGTCCGCCTCCTGTCCAGTCTGAGTCACAGTTACAGCCACCTTCCCCGCTTCCTTCTCCTTCTCCCTACACTGGTCCTACTGGAGGTCTTGCTGAGCGTCGTGAGCCTGCGTCTCGCCCTGCGTCGCCTGTCCGTGCTGCTCGCACTAGTGGTCGTGGTTCGCGTCAGCGTCCTCCCCCTGTCCCCGGCACGCACCGGATGTCTCTGCGTCCTTCCACTGCTCCGCTGCGTGCCCCTTTGCCCTCTCCTCCAGCGTCCTCTCTTCCTGAGCTTCCTGACCCGGAGTCGGACTCCCTTCGTGCTGCGCGTCCTACTGTCACGCGTCTCCTTGCTACTGTCGTCACTGACCCTTCCTTTGAGTCTACTGCTGCGTCTGCCCTAGTTGCTGAGCTTGTCGACTTCGCTGCTCGCTGTCGCCTAGACTACGCTACCAGTCTCGTCGCTGAGTCTGAGTCTGTCTGTCCTCCGTCCGTCGGGGGTGAGTGTGCTCTTGGCACGGACGTCCTAGAGGACAGGCAGGAGGAGTTCCAGTGCTTGGCTGCTGTTTCACCTCATCTCGTGTCCATGCTGCTTGCCCCTGAGGGAGACCCGGATGCACTTGACATCCCGACTCCGCGCTCTTACGCGGAGGCGATAGAGGGTCCCTACTCCTCTCAGTGGCAGGCAGCCATGGACGCAGAGATGGCTTCCTGGAAGTCCACAGGCACCTACGTTGACGAGGTTCCCCCGCCTGGGGCGAACATCGTCAGTGGCATGTGGATTTTCAGGGTGAAGCGGCCGCCGGGTTCTCCGCCTGTCTTCAAGGCGCGTTACGTGGCTCGTGGTTTCAGTCAGCGGCAGGGAGTTGACTACTTTCAGACTTTCTCCCCCACCCCGAAGATGACCACTCTTCGGGTACTGCTGCACATAGCTGCTCACCGAGACTACGAGCTGCACTCTCTTGACTTCAGCACTGCTTTCTTGCAGGGCAGCCTTCACGAGGAGATCTGGCTGCGCCGCCCACCTGGCTTCACTGGGACGTTTCCTCCTGGCACCCAGTGGAGCCTCCGGCGGCCAGTCTACGGTCTCCGCCAGGCGCCTCGTGAGTGGCACGACACACTGAGGACTACACTTGCGGCCCTTGGGTTTGCTCCTTCTACTGCCGACCCGTCGCTGTTTCTGCGCACCGACACTTCTTTGCCGCCGTTCTACATCCTCGTGTACGTCGACGACTTGGTCTTTGCTACAGCTGACACTGCTGGACTTGCCTACGTGAAGTCCGAGCTGCAGAAGAGACACACGTGCACAGACCTGGGTGAACTGCGCAGCTACCTTGGCTTGCAGATCACCAGGGACAGAGCACAGCGCACCATTACCCTGACTCAGTCACATATGGTGCAGCAGGTCCTTCAGCGCTTCGGCTTCACGTACTCCTCGCCTCAGGCCACTCCTCTGCCTACGCGCCACTCGCTCTCAGCTCTGCCTTCGGATGAGTCCGTAGAGTCGAGTGGCCCGTACCCAGAGCTTGTGGGCTGCCTTATGTACCTGATGACCTGCACTCGACCTGACCTTGCATACCCTCTTAGCATTCTGGCACGCTATGTTGCTCCTGGGAGACACAGACCAGAGCACATGGCTGCAGCGAAGAGGGTGTTGCGCTACTTGTGCAGTACGTCAGGCATGGGGCTTGTGCTTGGAGGGCATAGTTCAGTGGTCCTCACTGGTCACGCAGACGCTTCTTGGGCTGACGACCAGGCTACGCAGCGGTCGTCACAGGGTTACACCTTCAGCCTTGGTTCCGGCTCTGTTTCTTGGCGGTCTACCCGCTCGTCTTCTGTTCTCGGCTCCAGTTGTGAGGCTGAGATCTACGCAGGGGCCATGGCTGCACAGGAGCTACGCTGGCTCACCTACCTGCTGACTGACCTGGGAGAGCCGCCTCGTTCTCCTCCAGTGCTGTACGTAGACAACAAGGCCATGCTGGCCTTGTGTCATGAGCACAGACTGGAGCACAGAACGAAGCACATCGCTCTCCGCTACTTTCTTGCTCGTGAGCTGCAGCAGCGTGGTCAGCTGCGCCTTGCTTACGTGGCCTCTGAGGCCAACACTGCTGATATCTTCACTAAGGCACTCGCGCCTTGTGATCATCAGCGCTTCTGCACTCTGTTAGGTCTTGTACCTACCTTGCCTCACTTGCTTACTTCTTGACCTTGCTTGTACTGTTACATATATATACCTGCCTGTTTAGCTTTATATATATGTGACCTTGCATGTGAACTGGCCTTGTGGCCTTGAACTTGTGCTCAGACTGTGTGGTGACGTTGTGATCCACCCTGAGCTTGCTTTGCCTTGCTTTGCTTGACTGGTGTGACCCCTTGTTCTCCCCACTTTGCCTATGGGGGTGTGTCAAACTTATACACTATAGTCTGTGTAGGCTGTAGTGGGGTAGCTCATATGGGGTACAACATTCTAGGGTTTGGTACTTGTACTCCTCATGCTGCTCAATGCATTCATTCTCGTTCCAATTGTCACACCTAGATGGAGGCTAACATTATAAGACCCACCTCTTTCTAGAGACCGGGTCATTTTATAGCCAATGAATGTAATTTGGGAAAATATGTCAATGGTAACTTACATGGGGCACTATAACGCGTACGGTAACGATTTCAACGCATTTGGTAACTCACTTAACGTGCTTGGAAACTCGCTTAACACGTTTGGTAACTCGCTTAACGCGTATGGTAACTATACACTAGCAGCGCATCACGCGAATGGTATCTACATGAAACTCCCGCCCAAAATGACCCAATTTTCTGGTTTTTCCCGCTCGCGTCAGACTAAATTGACGAATCTTGAAGCAGAAACTTCTGACACATTCCCTGAAATTCTGACACAGTTTCCCGAACTTAATTCTGACACACTTTCCGAAATCCTGACACATGTTCCGATTTTCAAGCAAATTGCAAAACGGTAACTGTTGTGAAACACTTTTTCATACACAGCTGATAATCTGGCGCTCTTTCCACACACGGTTTGTACTTTATTCTATCGTGCAGCCGGGGCAAACAAATCTATACCCCTTCAGATGGCAAATGAATTGAAAGCATCCACCATAAACTCCTTCCGACAAGTCGTTTATGGTTATTTCTTTAAAAACGAAACATGTAATTCAAAAGAATTGTATTTTTCCCACATGCAAAAATTCTCCAACGTTGCAGTAATTACAAAAAGTAAAAGCCTCGATGTCTTTTCGGGGAATTTTTTTTTTTATCAGTTTGCAAGTTCGCAATCATGCTATCAAAAAATATGATTTTATCCCTTTTTTTTACGAGCTACACACATATATATACATATATAACGGCTCTGAGACTTTTCGGTCCGTGGTAATGGAACAAACGGGATCCTTCAAAGTTGCGGCGGGACCTGTTCAAAAAATAATAAAACTGTGCATAAAAGCTGGCAAACTCGATCAATTCCTCATTGCCAGAATCATTTGGGCTGGAGTTTCATGTAGTTACCATTCGCGTGATGGGCTGCTAGTGTATAGTTACCATACGCGTTAAGCGAGTTACCAAACGTGTTAAGCGAGTTACCAAACGCGTTAAGCGAGTTACCAAACGCGTTGAAATCGTTACCGTACGCGTTATAGTGCCCCATGTAAGTTACCATTGACATATTTTCCCATGAAATTTTGATACATTTTCTACCACTTTCCATAACAAATCCCATAGCATGTTCATTAAGGAGGAGTAACAGCTAGTCACAAGGCATCGGTGCGCTAGGCCTCGCAAGATTGTGATGTGATAACCATGTTTTGGGACCAGTGGGAGAAGGCACCCAGCGTGATCGTTGGGTGATGTGCCTTCGACGGTCGTGGAGTTCATTCCGCATATTTCTTTTGAATGCTAAAAACGGAGCACATACTATCTACATGTCTGGCTTTCAAAACACATGTTATATACATGACCTTATGATATGACCCGGGTCTTATAGATATATGCAAACTGTTAAGATCCCCCCCCTCCCCCCCCACCCCTTTCCTGATTTTGGGGTGGGATTATTATAATACCCCCGGGTCTTTAATCTGGGGGTATTACGGTAACTGCATGTAGACTAAGTAGTGTATAATCATTCTATTATTCTCTCCAACTGGTGTACCCCCCTGTTACAATCCTAAAAGGGACGTAGCCAGGGATCCGCTTGGGGTTGTTTGCACGTAGTATTGCAGCGGAAGTGTTGAACTCAGGTTAAAGTGAAAGTAAAAATGATTGAGATAAATAGCAATGCATACATCTTGTTATGTAGGAATACAGGGGAAAACTAAACGACCTAGCTAGCTCCCTTATTACAACGAATTCAAACCGTGCGGTGCAAGAACCCGTTTTGAACCCGTTCCCGCCTTTTTCACTTTGAATGTTTCTGACTGCATCGGTCGCGATCTGACGGTTGCTGATGTTGCTTCGACTCTTCTAACTCCTCGACTTCGAACTCATTAAGGTTGACTCCAGTAGCGTACAAGAATGCCTTTTTCATTAAAGTTCATATCTCAATACCTCCCTTCATTCCTGGACGTGTGGAGGGCTGACCTGCTTGACTATTCAAGTGAGGTTGGGCAATGTTGTTACTATTGACATTGCAGTCCCTTGGTGAGAAAGTTGGCTGCCATCTCGGTGGTGGGGTAGTACGCTAGGTCAACCTTACCCTGTTCAATTTTGTCATTGACAGAAATGTAGCGAATCGCGATGTGATTTGTTCGATTGACAAAGTCGGGCTTGTTTGCGATCCTGGTCGCGCTCTGGTTCTCGCAGTGAAGGCGAAAGATGGGCAAAGTTGGAAATTTTCGCCTCATGCATGAGTTCTTGCAGATAGAGCCCTTCGCGAACTGCAACAGTTGCGGCAATGTACTCTGCTTCGTTTGATTAAAGGGCAACCTGCTCCTACTTCTGAGAGTTCCAAGAGATTGGACCCGTTGGCTCGAGACAGAAGATGAAGCCAGTTCGTGACCGTCGATTGGCAGGATCAGCAGGTTCAAGTGCGCTCATGTTGAAGGTGAGATTGAAGGATGGTGTTGTCAGTGTGGAGTACGAGAGCCCGATGTCAGGTGTAGCGATAGGGCGCGCTCCAGGTCTAGCTGGTTTTCTGCAGCTGGCTTGCGTGAGTACTGTGCCAGTTGGCTGGCGATGTACGAAAGGTCGGGTCGGCAGATGACAGAGGCGAACAATAGGCAACCCAGTTGCTGCTAGTAGAGTTGGAGTCCTGCTGGCGACAGGGGTTTGTTGTCCGGATTATACCTGGTGCTGGGTGTGCGGTAGGGAGTTGAGAGAGGCGCGGGTAGATTTCGAAACGTTCTCCCAATTCCTGCCCGCACCTAGAGGTTGACAGATGAATTGTGTCTGGCGCGTAAGTGATGTTCAGCCCCAGAAACTGCGTGACTTTGTGGTTGATGGTTCCCGGTCAACCAATTTACCCAGGCGACAGGGTTCTACGGGAGTGCGACCGCCGCCCAGGAGATTCTGGCGAAGCCAACCTCTGAGTGGTATCTCGAGGTCAATGTGGCTCGTCAAGCGCAATCGCCGGCACGTGGCTGACTTGGAACCTGAGCGACGGTGCACAATGCGCTCGACCATCGATGTGCACCTGCGAAGTGGGTGCACACCTATCCTACTGTCACCTGCGATTGCAACGTTGGCAGACTATTCTGCTGCAACGTTGGCAAGCCGCCATGATGATGCAGTGCTCGTAAGCCACCGACTTGCTATGTTGGCAAGCCGCCGCTCCACAACGCTGGAGTGGTGCGGACTTGCAATGCTTGCAGGTCACCAACTTTGCTGTGCTAGTGGACCTGCTTGTTTGATTTGCTTTGCGGACCTGCCTGTTTGCGAGTTTGCTATGCTCTAATGTAGTGAGTGTTGCCTTTGCCATTCTAGCCATTGTACTGAAACTTTGCTATTGAAACTCTTGCCACTTCTTTGTGTGAATGAGCAAGAAGAGAGAACACTAAGGAATGATACGGTCACTCACACTACTGGTGCCTTCCCCCGTAGTCCAGCTTCGTTGTAGAGTGACTCTCCGCATGCCACCTTCCCTTTTCTCTGGCATATCTTGTATCTCTTGCAATATTGCATCCCTCTTTGGCCAACTTCTCTCTCGTCACTCACTCACCTTCCTAGCTAAACCCTTATCTCCCATGGCCCCTAAGTCATAGCATATCTCGACAGCTGGTGACAAAAAGGGGCTACGATGTAAATGCGCGATACCGTAGTTTGATTGGTCTAGCTAACTTGAGGTGGAAAGGACACGTCGCTAGTGTGGAAGAATTGCTTGTAATTCTGACTGTTTTTCCGTAAATGTCCCGCCATATCGCGCGGCGCGAAGCAGATTGCACATTTCGTCTTAAGAAGGAAATCCGACCCAATTAACTGTTTATTGACTAAGATCACCCCGATTAGCACCAAGTCTTAAGTGCCCTGTTTTTTAGGGAGTGTTTTGTGGAACCTGCTTCGAAACCTCTTGGCGCATTACTTATGCGTCAAACATGTTGACAAGAAAATGCCCCACCTTCACTAGGGCGAAGCTAACTTTGTTGATGGCTAGGCTTCGTTGTCAAAATTGACTTGGAGGAGCAAGTCGGCTTGGTTGGTCAACGTCGGCGGAGCCGACTTCAGTGATTAGCCAATTTCGGTCCAGTCGACCATTGCGAAGCGACTTTAGCGAATGGTGGAGCCGACTTCATTGCCAGGCGTACAAGGTGTGCATCCGACTTGAAAGTCAACTTGTGTAGCCGAACTCGGGAGAGCCGACTTCGTTCGGTGAAGCCGACATCTGTAGTTGGCCGACTTTCGCGAGGCCGACTTCAACAAGGCCAGCCACGACGAAGCCGGCGACGAAGTCGAGTCGGTGGCTGACATCGGGCGTCAGCGGTCGATGAAAGTGTTTGTCTACTTGACGCCGACTTGCAGGTTAACAAAGTCGGCCGGCCTCTTCTGTTCGACTGTGTACTTGGTCGACGAAGTTCTGAAGGGTGTGCGAACGTTATCCATGTGGTTTTGGGGAAGTCGACTTGCGGTCGTTAGCACGAGGTTAACGTGGCACATCTAGGAGCAACCATCGACATGCGGTCGGCCTCGACGCATGTGTCTGACAGGTAACCGTACACCTACTTAGTAGGTGCGCACTTGTGCGCGCAAGAACATTTGCGGTTGCAACGC